CGGCTGCAGCTCCAGTCTAGCACTGGTAAGTAGCATCCAGCTATGGTCAAGCTCTGGGCCTTGGTTGGTGTACGAATGCTGCCTCATCCTTCAGGTGGTGAACTATCTACAAAGGAAGTGTATCAGCCAAAGGAAGAGCCTCAGGGATGCTCTGTAGCCTGCTGGCAAACCCTGCTGAATCTGCATCCACAGATGAGCACTGACAGCATCAGAGCATGAAGAAGGCAGAAACCTCTGATTAGGCTCTGTGTGTGCTTGGGCAAGAAAGGCGCACAAGGAAAAGCACTGGCAGTGGCAAACGTTCTCACAGTGAGCAGTTCTGTGAGCCATGCTGCAGAAACTGATTGCCATGTGGAGGCCTCTGCAGTCACCTGCACACATGGCAACTGACTGCCTCCCCTTTTCTCCTTCCAATCAGTGACACTTTGGCTCTTGACCTGGCAGGACTTGCAACATCATGGAAAATCAATTTATTACTAAAAACAACAGATACAAACCAGGTACAAATAAACACATCACAGAAATTTCAAACATATTTGGCAGCTTTCATGCTTACATCATCCTCTATACCTTCAAGTAGCACCAACAATGACACACATTCCAAAACACTATATTGACATCTGTGTCAATGCACTCGACTGTATCTGACTGATAGTGATATTTTTACTTTTGTGCTTAAATTAAGGTGTCTTAAAACATGGACCATGATAACTCCCTCCCTAGGATGGTCATATTCTGCCAATGCTTATTTATGTGAATTCACTAATTCCTGTACAAAGCAAAATACCATAACACCATGAAAAATCCACGTCAGATATCCCACGGTCACTGTGACATTGACACTGATATTTTCTTGGAGTTTTCCATCTAAACTGCATATTTTACACTCCTCTAGTGTGAAAATTTGATGAACTGGGAACAAGCCCTTTTCTGTTGTCTTCTGGAATTCTTATAGGAATCTTTTTGGTCATAAATACTGCTATTTTTTCTACAGTCACTGAAATGAGAAAGCAAATACATTCCTCTAGCTCAAGTTATCTAAACTTGTAGGCATTTCTTATGTTAATCCAATTAACTGGACTTACACTGTGGTTTTTTGTTTATTTGTTTGGTTTGGTTTGTTGGGGTTTTTTATTTTTATTTTCACAAACATTGTTTATTTCCAGGCAATCTAATGTTTCATAATCATGACTTCCAGTAATTTTTCTTTGCTGAGGTGACTTGAGTTTTCTTTGGAGTGTGAATTTGTGCACCTATATTAATAGTTTGGTGCTCTCACCACACATGCTGGGGAAATTCTCAATCACATGTATAATGCAGCAGGTGGGATCCATCCAGTCCTATCTAGACCTCTGTCATGTAGAAGTCTACATCTAATATAGGCTCTCTTCATACACGAGAAAGAACTAAGCATCTTTAGAGCATGAGTCATGTCATCCTAAAGTGGACGCCTGAAATAGGTCAGATGATTTGTGCCCTAAAATTGCTCCTGTTTATCTATGTTAAAGAACAAGTAGTTTGTATCTTGATGTCTCCATTCTAGCAGCCTTGAGTGAAATAAGATTACTTAATAGTCTTATATCCAGGTTTATATCATGCTTCAAAATACCCTAAAAATCCTTATTTGTCAAGAAAACTGAAAATAGCAGTACTTTTTTATATTTTTATATTTTTCTCCATTTGTAGAAAGCTTTTGAAAGTTTTCTACCTCAAGACATTTTAGTAAAAATGGCGAATGCCATGCATTTCATGGGAAAGTTGTAACACTTCTCTTTTTAATAATGTGATTCTTTCAGTTGTCTGTCTGCAAGGTTGGGAAATAATTTAGTTAGATTCATTAAAGGTCCAGAATAAGATTCTGTACTCTCGGTGAAATTATGCAATTTGGAAGAATGAAAAAAGCAAACATAAACCAAGAAAAACCAGGCAATCTAATTTATTTTTTAAATGACACTCCAAAATTGATATGTAAAAAGATCATTTAAAACTGAACTGTTGGCAGACTACGGGTGAAACAGTTTTATTTAAAAAAAGTTGTAATATCTAAAACTTGGCAGAGGTGTCACATTAGGGTGGTACATGTGAGGACACCGTGTGCCAGGAACTCCTCAAGACATGCAGGATCCTTCTGACCAACTCTGCTCTCAAGAGTTAAAATCCTGCATAAAGCTGATGAGTAAGCTCTTGATGACTCACTGTGGCAGATGCAGTCTTTAATTCCAGGAGGGTATAAGGGAAGTGGGTGTGAATCTCGAGTAGAGGGGAGCTAGGGATGTTCCTGCCTCAGTGTCTCGGGGATAAAAGTGTAGGTTTTTAATACAGCCCCAGCTATTAGCAATGCCAAACTTCTGTAAGGAGTAAGTTTGACATTACACATCACACATACATTTTATGTGAAGCAGGGTTGGAACACCACCTACTCACAGATGGGTATAATTTTGGGGATGTCCTGCATAATTCATGTGTGGCTTTGATACTTATGAGTAATTCAGACATCAAAGCCTCAACTTAGATAACACTTTTATAACACTAAACTTCCTATAGCAAATAACCTGTGGCCTTTCATTTAAGTTCCGTAAAAAAAGGCAACTATAGCAATACTTTCTTCTTTACTGTCAGATATTTTTCACAAGGTATGCTTGTGCGAAGTACAAGCTAAAAAATACTGAAGCCTGAACTAGAGAAAAAATATACACATAATACTCTTCACTGGGACTAGAAATGTAAATTTTAAAGCACTGGAAAGTTGCTGGGAGCCTCTTTCCCTGTTGCTTCTAGACTGAGAGCACACCAGATACCAGGCTTTTTGGTCTCTCGGCAACATTCCCTTTGCTTTGCCAGTGGCACAAACCTTCACTCTTCAGCAGTCCAATTTCCTAATAAGCAATTTTATGTTCTCTTCCAAGTTAGCCATTATGCATGAAAAATCTCCCCATTAATAACCGTAAAGCTCCTTTATTGTTCTCCTTCAAATCTCCTTAAAACCTTCTTCTGACACCAAACACTTGTCACTGGCCAGGCCTGTTGCTTTTTATTCTCAAGGCTGTTTTTCCCTTATCCTTCCCCCATGGGTCTGTACTATACACCTGTTGTCTTTCATCATGGGTTAAGATCATAAGCTCTTTGGGCATAGACCATCTCTCTTATTACATGTGTCTACAGTATCCGACACAATGGGACTGTGAGCCCTGAATGGGGCCTCTGGGTACTGCCATGATCGAGTTGATAAAGAATAATGATTTTTGACATGGTGAGTTCTGCAGTTTTTCCCAAGTCATTCTGCAGTTGTTCATGCTGATATAAGCAGTGTGTGTGTGAGAGCACTGTCCTTAAACCTGATATACAGGGTAAATGCTTTGGGACTGTTTGCCAGAGAGCAATGACTTTCCTGTTTTGTTGTTAGGGGTTTTTCTGCTCTTGCATGTCAAAATGCATGGACTGACATGCAGCAACTGTTTCTCTTTGTGGGTTTGTACAGAACTAGAGTGATGTGACCCTGCTCTGAAGCTTCTACATCCCGTCCTTCAAATTGCAATAAAGACTGTCAAATAAAAGGGGGTGGCTCATGCGCCATTGGTGGGTGTCAGTTCCTTAAAGGTCCATGGGGATTCAGGACACAGCTTTTCCCTGAAGCAGTTTCCCTGCTAGATTTGGAAACTAGTCTCCCTCCCTCCCTCCCTCCTCTTGTGTTTAGTCACACTGGCAAGTGGGGGGATGCAGAAAGGCTGCACCAGTCAGATTTGGATTGCTAGCTTTTGTGGTGGGGAAGGCAAGGAGAGCTGCCCCCTCCACCGCATGCCCACTGAGCAGGAGGACGCGCAGAGTCGATTATTTTTAATTAAGCCCCTAGCAAAATTCTCCTTCTCTAGAATTCTGTTTCCAGGCTCCGCCAATGACCCTTCCTGAACCCCGCTACCTCAGTGGTGCACATCATCATTCACACCAGGCAATCTCTCCCCTCAGCCCCCAAGATATTAAGTTTCTTCTCCTTTTCTCCCTGCCTCTCTCTCTCCCCAACATTCCCAGAAGAGCCTGTGTTCAGGTTTTGCACTCAATTCAAGGGGCTGCCGGAGCGTCCTCTCCCTCGTGCAAGGCTCTGCATCGTGCCAGGTCCTTGAGCTCTGCTCAAGAATTCTTCTGCAAAGGCAGGAGACCCTCTGTTCCGTTGCTGGTTAACACAGCTGTTTTCTAAGGGCAAAACCACAATAACACCAATCCTCAACATCATAAGAAAAGCAGAAATTCTCTCTCCCCTCGCCGGGTGTCTCCCGACAGTTTTAAATAACTTTTTTTTTTTTTTCGGGGGGGGGGGGGGGGGTGGCTGTTGGGGTGAAAGGAGAACACGTACTTAGCATCGCAACCCCGCTTCACCCCATGCCACCTTCTGGCCCTCTCTTCCCTTCACCACCGGGTTCTTAAATACTGGGGCCGAGCCCGGGCGCGGGGAGACCCGGTTCGCCCCCGGAGCGCTCCGGGCGGTGACAGGGCCCTGGCTCTTACCCGCACCGGTATCCCCGAAACTGCTCCTCCGGCAGCGCAGAGGCAGGGAGAGAGTGCTGCGGGCTGCCGGGGCTGGGGGCCAGAGTGGAGAAGGCAAGAAATGCGGCGTGGGCGTAAGGACCCCCCAGACCAGGCTCAGCTCCCGAACTTGACGCCCCGCCGGAGCCGAGACGAAACCCCGCCTGGGACAGCGGCTGCCCGGTTACCTGCGGCAGAGCGGGCCGAGGCCGGGGGGCGGCTGCGGTGCGGTGCGGGGCGGCCTCGCCTCCGCCTCCCCTGCGGCGGGGCCGGGCACCGGGCCGGGCTCGGGCTGGGCAGGCAGGGCGCTGCCCGCCCCGCTCCCCCCGCCAATGTCAGGGGGGACTCGGGCTATGCGGGCATCTCCCGAGGAGCCCGCTCCCCGCAGCGGGCGGGCGCGGTATATTTAGCATCGCGTCGCTTTATTCCTCCCCCAAAGTTTCGCCCACTTATTTATTTATTTGCCGGCGAGCGCCGCGCTGCCGCAGAGCGGCAAGAGCCGCTCCGCGCCGTGCCGAGCCCTGGAAGCGGCTTGGTATTGCAGCAGGTAGAGCTGAGCGCTAGGACCTCGGAGAATCCTTCCAGCAGCAATCAGGACTACCTTAAACCCAGCCCAATGCCTCTTCCTGCGCCACTCTGCGTGCTGGATGGAGATCCACAGTCAAGAGCTGCAGCTCAGTGCTGGAGTACAACATTTCACAGGGAGCCCTGCAGAAGCAACACCTGTTTCGAGCCAGCCAAGAAAGACACAAGCACTTGTATGTTGCTGCTTTGCTTGTGGATCGTCAATAATCCTAAACCAGTGGACATCTGCTGAGCCTCCTGAGAATTCTGGATAATAGATTTGGACGTCAAAAGTTTTTTTTTTCCTTTTTTCTTTTTTCCTTTTTTTTTTTTTTTTTGGATTTATCTCAGCCAACAACGTGAGATTTCCCCCCTCCCCCTTTGCAGGATTCATGCTGATGTATGCAGTCTGTTATAGAGTAAAAACAGCGCATGCCTTTCTGGAATCAGAATCCATAAATCCTGACGTAGCCTGTGCATCTTAAAAAAAAATCCCTATAACGCCTAGGTATTTAAGTTGCTATGATCATTCTTATCTTAAACCAAATGGAGAAACTACGGATTTTTTTTCTTTATTACAGTTGGATGGGCTGAAGACCGTATTGCTTGCTAAGAGCTGGGGATATATGCATTTATATAGATATACACATCTATATGTTTATAAATATGTCAGTGTGTGAGTATAAAGTGGTGGTTTCTTAGACTAACTGGTTTGACCTTGAACCTGTACCAGTCAAAAGAGAATATTACTTTTATTTATGCATTTAATGGATTGAAGAAAGAACATTTTCTCTGTAACTGCGCTAGGGAGGGGAGAGGAGTGGAATATACCTAATCTTATATCTCCTGGGTTTGGCACCATCATTATTGTTTATTCTCATTCTCTAAAAGCAGAATCTTCTGATGGCTCCCTTAGGTGAAGTTGGGAACTATTTCGGTGTGCAGGATGCAGTACCCTTTGGGAATGTGCCCGTTTTGCCGGTGGATAGTCCGGTTTTGTTAAGTGACCACCTGGGTCAGTCTGAGGCAGGTGGGCTACCCAGGGGGCCTGCGGTCACGGACTTGGACCATTTAAAGGGGATCCTCAGGCGGAGACAGCTATACTGCAGGACTGGATTTCATTTAGAAATCTTCCCCAATGGTACTATCCAGGGAACCAGGCAAGACCACAGCAGATTTGGTAGGTATTATCCTTAACCCTTTAGTGGTCATGTGATGAAATAATGGGGCAGAACTGCGGGCGGGGGGACGGTGGGGGGGGGTTCGAGGCGGGCGGGAAGGGGGGTTTGTGCTGATGACTGATCTGCCGAGGGGAAAAATGAGTTGTGTCCGGGGTTGCAGATGTACACGAGCGGCACCACCGCGGCGGAGCAGGAGCCCTCGCCGAAGTCGCCGGGTGTTTAGTAGCGATGTTTGTGTAGCCTCAAGTTCTGCTTAAGAGCAGACGCGTACTGGGAGGTGGTGGTGGCGGTGGTGGAATTTTTGTTCGGGACGTTTCTGCTGAATGATTTGATTTCGAGAGTTTAAAGGGTTTTTAATCATTAACCACGACAATTTAAAATTCACCGAGTTTCCTGGAGGGAGTGGCTCTCGTCCTATACGCAAATTGACGAGGGCTTTTCTTTCGTTTTCTCTGCCGATTACCTGCCCTAGTAACTGCCCGAACTGCACACCCAGTCTGGTTCGCTGCTCGGCGAGGATTCACCGGCAGCGCCCGCCGACCCGCAGCGGTGCTCGCCGCCCGCCCGAGCCCGCACCCGCAGCTGTGCGGCGTTGCCGGTGGCCGGCGGCCCGGGAAGGAGGGAGCGCAGGTGGGGTCCGGAACCCGCCGGGAATCCTGCGCCAAAATCTGCCTTTCCCGAGCTGTGTGGCGTGTCAGGCTGGCAGCGAATTTGAAATAGCATTCCATGGATTTCCTTTCCAGGGACGCTATTTGTGACTCAGCAGCGAGGGCTGAAGGGCTGATGGCCCCGGCCGCTCCGGAGAGCCTGTGCATGCACACACGCACACATCCACACATGCACATGCACACGCGAGTCCAGTGGGCCTGGAGCTTCTCTGCTGTCAGGGAGTCTGTTAAAGGCTTGGCAGATTGAATGCATGAAAGTAACTAAAACAGCCTGGATGAGCTGATTCTTTTTTCTTAAGGAGGGGTGAGGAAAATACGCCAGGTTAGCTCACCACGCTCCCAGCTGTTGGAAGGAGTTAACTTGTGAGTGAACTAACCTGACAGCACTTAAATTCGGTCGTAAAAACAAAGTCCTGTGGTGATTTTTTTCTCTCTTTGTATTTTAATGCCAGATGTTGAACGATATCTAAGCTGTATTTTATTGCTTTGTGAAGCTGTTTAGATAATGCTGGTGTTGCAGGAGATGATCTCCAAAGGGCTCAGAAGGGAAGCAGAGGGGGGGCGGAGGAGGAGAGGGCTGAGGCTCTCGCATGGTCGCAGGTTCATCCTCCATCCCCCGGCATCCGCTGCTCCCTGATACTCTCGTGCTGCTTACGGGCTCTGCCTCCCTCCCACACCGCCCACCCGCCCGGGGTCCACGGGGGTGGGTGCAGGGCGAGGGGGAGCGTCGCGGCTATCCCCGGGGCACAACATCCACGCTTGCTGGCGAGAAAAAGTGCTGAAAGTGTTTCAGGCAGCCGCGGAGTGAGGGGGATTTTGCAGCTAGGCGTTTTCCTTGGCACAGGCAGACGCCGTGCGTGGCTGCTGAGCTACCGCCGCAGGTTCCCCTAGCCCGCTGCGGTGCGGGCAGAGAGCGGCGGGCGCGGCGCTGTGTGGAGCCGGCGAGGGAGGCGCGGTGCGGGGCCGCAGCAGGTGTAGGGCGCTGCGCACCGGCAGCCAGGGCGGTGTGGGGTTGGCGGCCCGCGGGGCCCCGCCGCCCCCAGAGGAGGGCCGCCAGCTGTTCCCCTTTGCAAGGCGGCGGTGACCACAGTACTCGCGGCGTCTGTTTTTAAAAATGGCTATCCAGCCGCAGTTTAGGAAGCTGACAATTCCGAGGGGCAGCTCTTTCACCTTCTCGCAGCGCCTTGGCTTTAAATAGATTGGGGTTTTTGTCCTTGTCGGTTTGATCTCCCTCTCCCCCCGCAGGACGCGCCCCAGTGACAACTCTTCTCCCATAGAGTGTGCCGGTGATGCTCCTGCTCGCTCCAGGGTCGGGTAGAGCGGGCACGGCGAACCCATGAGATTTGTTGGGGCTCCCGGCTTCTCTGGGGGGAGGGAAGAGGATCTCAGTGCTTTTGTATCGGTGCTGTGAGATTGCTGTTTTGTTTGCGGGAAGGTCACCGAATAGCAGATGCTATTTGGGTTTTGGTGATTGTAAAGTCTTGTGATGATACTGGGGAGGTCTGCATCCCATCTCAGGAGCTGCCCGGGGGAGAGCGGGTTTACACATGGTCTCCTCCGAGCGCGTGCAGGGAAACCTGCGCGCGTGTGCGTGTCAATGTGGGGGTACGCGTCAGAAGGAAGTTTTCTTTCAGGAATAAGGCGGACAAAGAGAAAACATTAGGGGCTGCGCGTAAACTCCTCTCTGGGCTCTGCCCTGTGGGAATCCCCCTCCCCGCACACATACACACACGCACACACCTCTGGAGAGACATCAGATAAGAGTAATTCTTTTGTGATGCTATGTTGGATGTGTGCCTATTGCATACAGTAAACCGAGCCATATTGTGTGTCTATACTCGCCCGGTTCTGGGAGCCCTGGCATTTCGCAATTCCTGCAGCAAGATGTCCATCTCTGAAAGAAAAGCTCCCCGGGAGAGTCCGGCTCGGTCCCCCCGGTAATGCGATCTCAGGTGATCAAAGCCTTATCTCTCCTGGGTCACAAAAGAATTTTTTTTTTGATGCAGTCTCCTTTAGTCTAGGGCATTGACTAGACACTAGAGTCATTGTAAATTCAGGAACTCTGTAACAGCGGAGAGGCGTGCCTCTGTGCGTCAGCACAAGTACTGCATGCACAGCATTAAAAAATAGGAGCATGCAGGAAAAGGAAAAAAAAAAAAGCTTGTCAGCAGGTGACCTCCGCTCCTCGGGACCTGCTGCTACAAGGAACCGCTGCGTTCATCATCTGCGGGAGCCGCTCAGCCGCCCGCCCTCCCGCCTTCCCGGCCCGCCCTGCCTGCTCCGGCGCTGGGCTGGCGGGGCAGGTTCAGCGCCGGGAGGGCGCGGGGGCGGCTACGGACTGGGGGTCCCTGCGGCTGCCCGCCTCTTCTGCTGCTGTATGCGGCGGGGCGGGCCTGCCCCCCGCCCCGGTCTGCTGGCTCTCCCCAGAGACGGCACGGGGCGGGAGGAAGGCGATGCATGCGGGGAGGGCTCTGGCCCCCGGGACTGTGAATCGTGGGCCAGGTTTTAGGGGGAGGGAAGGGCGCCGAGCGGCCTCGACAGTCTCCCCCGCTATTGAGTGTTGCAAGGGGAGGGGATGAGGGGAAGAGGGCAAGGGCGCTATAAGAGCCTAAAACTGAAGCAGGGCCCTGCTGCCTGGGGGGGCTGTGTCTGCTCCTCCCGTCTTTTAATTGGCATCATGTGGGGGAGCGGGCGGAGCGGTGACAGCTGCGACAGGCGGGACGCATCCCGACGGAGCGCTCAGCCCCGCGCCTCTCCGCGCAGCCCCGCGCCGCAGCCTCGGCCGGCGGCCGGGAGCAAGGGAGGGGGGCGCCGGAAGCTGAGGGGCTCAGGGGAAGTTCCTTGCCTCACCCCGTCACCAGGCTGTCCTCCCGGCGGCTTCTTAGCCACGAAGGGCTCTGCTTCCCTCGCCCCTCCCGGGGTGGGCGATCGCTGGACGCGCAGCAGCCCAGGGAGAGCAGGGTCCGGACGGTCCCTCACCCTCCCCTGCTTTTCGCTTCCCTTGGAAGCCCTGCAAAGAACTGGCTGGCAGAGTTTACCGTCTTCGTTGTTGTCTTCGGTGTGTTAGAGTGCTAAGGAGAAACTAAATTGCTTCAACCCATCAATACAAAGAAAGCCTATATGTAGCCAAAGACAAAAATGTGCAAAGGGCAAAGCGGCAACAACAAAAAGACCGTGTAGTTGCAGATGTGTTCATTGCTTAAAAACCAAGGGAAATTTTTCTGTAGGCTTGTTCTTCACCAGAGCTAAGCTAGATGGAAGTTAAAATTTCACGTTTGTGAACGATCCACCCCCTCTCACCTGTGAGCCTGACAGGAGGGCATGACCAGCCTTTTTATGTCAGGCTGGTGTCCTGCTGCCGTTCAGCATGATCAAAGTTGGATCATGTAGAAGAAGGTACATGAAGGGCTGATGTGTCAGGAATAAATAACTTCCCCAAAACTTTCTTCCTAAACTTCTTGTGAAGTGGTTTCATTAAAGAAAATGCTCAGTGTCTGGTGAAAAGAAATTCAGTGTCCCATGTACTGAGACAGTTATTTCCTCAAAGCTTCCCTTCCCCGTTTTTAGCTATAAATAGGCCCCTAGCTTTTAAAGTTTGGAGATGCCCTGATTTCCATTTGATCCAGCCTCATTTTGAGTAGGATTATCTATTTTAATATCTAGTTCAGGTCCTAAGTACTATCCATATATTATAGAAACTATACAGTGAAAATATTCACAGAACTGTAGGGGCAAATCATGAAATCCTTAAACTGACAAGGCTTCTGTAAGACTGTATGTTTCACCCCAGATAATCTCTTGAAGGACTTAATATGGCACATAAAACTTGCTGTGAATAGGCTTTTGAATATTTCAAATGAAGAAATCTCTATTCTGACCTCAAATATGTGGATGTTCTTTGCCAAAGTAACTTAAATTCATCTTCTGCACTTACGATAGGATGTGACTGTTTTTTGTTCTTTTTATGCACTAAGCAGTGTGCACTCAAATATTTGAAATGAGAACAGCAATTAAAGACTACATTTAGACTGTTGTGAAAGATGCCAGACTCACTAACTTAGCTACAGTATTGTATAGTACACACTTAATGTAAGATTTAACTTCAGTTAAAATTGCTTGGTAACATCTACCAAGTTACACGATATTTTGGTAAAAGCTTTATAGAAAAAACCTTAGTAAGAAATCTGGAAGTACTACATGTCCAGATATAATGGGAATATTTAAATTGTTTCCATGGATCGATTGTATCTGAGATACTACATACACCAGATAAACAGCATGCTGCCACTTCATATTACTTAAAATAATCCAAAATTACTAAATATTTTTATTTGCGCATATGTAGAGAATAGTTTAAGATACTCGGGCCTTAAAACAGGATTATCAAAACAGTAAGACTATGGTGTTTGTAGTACTGAATAATATATAAGGTAATGATCAATAGTCCCTTACAGGGAATACTTTTCATCTTCACATTAGCTTGGCTATAAATTTTCCCTATTGACTTCAACTTGTGCCATGTTAGATTTGTGATTCGTGCCTGTTATTGATTACTGCACAACTATTTTGTGGGAGATGCCAAATTAATTGCTAAAAAAATCCACGAAAGTGCTTTTTTATTTGCCGCATGAGGCTCAACACATACTATACCCTTATTTTATTATTTCATATACATATAGTTTCCAATGAGCTTTAAAAATAGTTATATGGTGGGTTTAGGCATGAAAATTCACAAAATATATTTAAAATGCTGCTCTGTGCTTTATTTTGTGACTCAGAAAGTAACACAGCAGCATGCTTCTGAATGCTGCTGGATAACTCCTGTGAGATCATTACAATCTAAGATGAGCGCTCCCAAATAGAAAGCAATTTCCATTTTTACACAAGACTTTTAGGTTTGTGCAAGGTTTGACTGGTAGCATCCTCATTGAAGAGGTAAGCAATTTGCAGGGAAGGCTGCCAGAAAATCCCCAAGCCCCCAGAACCAGATGAGCCAATACTTGATACAGATACTTGCTGTACTGTGCGCGTGGATGCTGAACCTGGGAGCTTTGCAGAAGCAGTGCTTCTTGGCAAAATATTATTTCTACGTGCACAAATGTCTGTGTGAGCTTGCTCTTACGTGCATGGGAAGAGTTAGTCCCGTATACACTATTACTTAGGTTTAGGATATTTTAATTTTTGAATTTGAGATGAATAAATAATAACATATCAGGGAGAATTGTTACTATCTAAACAGAAATGAATGAAAGTGGACTATACTAAGGATTTTAATTTCTCAAGCCTCTGGAAGATCACACTGTGAGTAAATCTTTCCCTGTATTCCTGGTTCATCGATGGCTGGAAGTAGATCTTTTGGTTCCATGTGTAACATTGTTTTATTTCACAATTCTGAGTAAATCGTATTTTTTCAGAATTTATTTTGCAAGACAAATTTCATAGGTTCCTCACTTCTACTAATTTGGGCACTCTAAAACCTTTTTTTTTCTCTGAATGTACTATCTGCTGTGCAAATCAGAGTATAATCGAGTTTGTGTTTGGAAATGATGAGAAAGATTAAGAGTAATCTTTTCATTTGGTACATTAATGCTGTTTGTAAGTCATCATTCTAACCGGCACTCAAAGGACTTTAAGTATTGTATATTTGTTTGTTCCTTATGTTCCTCCAAACAACACAGAAAATGGGAAAACAGCCTTGAAAATAGCTGCTTGACACTCAGGGATCAGTCACATCTGAAAAAAAAAAAATCTTTCAATGGAAACAATATATACATTGTTTGTTTTTTTCCTACATTTTATAGGTATACTGGAATTTATCAGTATAGCAGTGGGCTTGGTCAGCATCCGAGGGGTCGACAGTGGACTTTACCTTGGAATGAATGAGAAAGGGGAACTGTACGGCTCGGTAAGTTCCCACTAGCCTTGGGCAGTTATGATACTTATATTCTATGGGGGAAACACTAGCTTCTACAAGCTCCTGTTGCACTAGGTGTATATGCTGTATGAGCACTCTTTCTGCTCTAAATATCTTGCAGTCTAATTTGAAACAAGACCCTGTGGGTGACATAATGAATATGGGAGAGGGAAAAGGTGACAAAATTAGGCAAGAGTAATAATGGAGATGAATGGCAATTTAGATACAAGCAATAGAGACTGATGGCCAGAGCTGATCATTGAAGACTAAAAGATTTGTGAAGACTGTAAGATTTGTGAATGTGTCCTTTTAGTAGAAACTTAAACTGAGATGGAGTGGCTTCCTTTTGTGCGTAGGCAGAGAGCTTTCTAGGAATTGACAAAATAAGGTAGAGCGTGAGGGAAAGGACGGCATATGTAGATGAGAAAATGAGAAACAGAAGTGTGACAAAAGTTATAAAAAGTATGGGAACGAGGGCAAGAGGCTTGGTGGTCTTGTCCTGAATGTTCCGCTGGTGCTCCCTAAGGAATGGCAGCGGGAGTGAGTAATGGGTATGAGGGAGGAGTAAAACTTGGTATTTCGGACGTGGGAGTTTGCCAGCCTACCTGCAGCTGATGGGTGACTGTTCTCAGCAGCATGGGCTGTCTTCCAGCAGAGGAGAGTGTGTGTGTGTGTGTATGTCGGACGTGACCCTTATCTGGGAATGATGTACGCTGGAGTTCACACCCTGGGTAGACTGTGGGCAGGGGGCATCTGAAATGGATCAGGTAACTCCCCAAATGGTAGAAGGCAAACTCTTCTAGCAGTAAAATGTCAACCTCCGAGGTTTACAAGGACTAGAGGGGCAGTTGTCTTTGAGGAAGAGGATGGAAGTATTGAAGGGTAAGCAAATGTCTAAAGCAAAGTGAAACTGTGCATTCACAGGGAGTCGTTAGAAGCAGAAGAGAAGGTGACAATGGTCGACTGATAGAGTAAATGTTGCAGGGAAACACTCAAAAAGAAGTTAAAGTGGTAGAGTGTGTAGCTTTGGGTGTAGCTGAAGATAACTGTCACAGGGAGCAGCGCTAACTGGGAAAAGGTGGGGGCCACAATGAGAGTGGGAGAAAACATGAGATTTTGGTGGTGAATGGACAGGTGGAACAGAAAGAGTAAGAGGGAAATGCAGCTTCCATGAATGTGATCCATGGAGAAGTATAGGGAAGCGAAACCAGAAAAGTCCAGCAGAAGTGTTTTTTTATAAGTGTGTCCAGGTTCACCGATCTCTTTCTAGTAAAGTTTTGTGTGAGCAAGGGGAAGGGAACTATCTTCTGAGCAATGAGCAGGCTAGGGGAGGAAGCCAGAAAATCCAGATAATGACAGTGTATGTGGGAGGCAGAAAAAGAGGTAGTAGAATGAGGGGCAAGACTGGGATGGAGGATGTGTGGACGTGGGAGAAGGTGAGATATAGAGTTAGTGAGAGCCAGTGAGTGGGAAAGGCCAAAGAAAAGGGATTTAACATAAATAGTAATACAGAGGAGGTAAAGTTTGGAAGGATGGAGAGGGAGTGAGAAAGGGAATGGACACAATGACAGATGTAAACAGGTTGCCTTTGAGGAATAAGCTGTCATAAATCACAATTGTTGTGCAGTTGATGAATGTGATTAAGAACTAGCAAAGTCATGAGTACTTTTATGGTTCAGTTAGGCAGCAAAAAGGCAGAACAACAACAGTAGTATGAATCAGTAATGTTGATAATCATCAGTAAGAGTAATCATTTAAACTTACAAACATAGTGAATCAGTTACTCTGCATTTCAGATATTCTGAGAAAGAAAATGTGCTTATTGATAGAGCTTAAATGCATAGACTTGGGAAAACAAATGTTACCTTGCTTTTCTGTGTGATTTATATTTTCTATTTGCAATATGTTTGACTGTCAGAGTGAATTACTCAAAACATTCTTTGCGGAAGAAATACGCACAAGAAATTCTTTGTAAATTACTAAGCTCACTGCATTTATAAAATAGTTGTTCCATGAACAGCAGTTCTAAAGGAGTCTGCTTTCCTAGGGGTTTGTGTCTCACAGGACAAGACATGGGTCTCCCTGACCTTCTGTCCCTGCAATAGCACAAATTCCTCAGCCTTTTGTGTTTCTTGTATGGAGAAAGAGACAGTATTAGCTGTCCATGCTCACCAGATTGTCAGTTTGCAGGGATTACATAGTTTACCACTCCCAAGTGGGATGTGCAAATGATTTCTCTTCTTTACCATGCCTCTGATTAGTTGAAAAACTGATAGGAACCTAATTTTCTTGAAGACCTTTGCCTCCTGATTGAAACTAGTTGAAAAGCCAAGGAAAGAGAGACAGGCAGGCAGATGGATGTGCAATATAATTGGATAACCTCTTTTCCCTAAGAAAGGACACTAAAAATATGAAGTCATTCATAATGGAGAACTGGCAATCTGTGAGGCTAGAATGCAAAGTTCAGGTTAAAATCTGATGGATGATACGGCTTGTTGTCAGCCTCCAGAGATGGGACATACTAAAGAGTGATGGTAATTGAATTACATTACTTCCAATGAAATATAACCTCTAATGGCTACTCTATGTGATGATGCTTTAAAGCCTTGTCAACACTAGCAATCCTAGTGCCTATATTTCAGCAACTGTCAGCTCTCTTAGAAACACTGAGATAAGCATGCCTCAGAGCAGATTTTTGTGTAGAATTGGCTGGACATTTTTAAGTGACAACGTTTCATTTTTGGTTTTGGTGAAAAAATCCACTTAATTGAAAAGTAAGTTCTCTGAGGGAATAAATATTACAGCTTGAACTAGAAGCAAGGCACAATCCAGCACAGAATTATCTCTCTGGTGAAGTAGAAGACTAGTTTAAGCAAGATTAGTTTTGAGACTGATATGTGATAGACTGCAAAAAACTTAATTCAGTTGTTCACCTGCATTAAGCAGAGCAGTCACTTGAGTGGAACTGTTCTGTTGCACCAGTCCTTGTGCTGCTGCGCTGGGAGCTGGATCCCTCTGTCTTGGTTTCTTTTCTGAAGGCCATGAATAACACCAGCTTTTTCATGGAGTAGGTACACTTAAGACACTGTGAATGTGTTTCCTACGGTGGGAAAACTGTTTCCCACACACAACTGAGTAGCAGCCTAAGAAATACTTGGTATTGCTCCACATTAGCGTTGTGGATCTAAGTAGGTGCTTAGATCCACCACTTGTAAGGCATTCAGTACTCAACACTATTGGAACAGGTGTCCTTTGTCTATGACACTGTCATATTCATATTCAAATTACTGCATGAAAAATATATTAGGTGTGAATCAAATCAGTGACCTAAAAGACTTCTATCCTTCTATGTTTGAGTTTGAAACATTTGTCACAGGAAGATTTTTCCCAGTGTATTTGTGGTACCACTGGAGATGGGACATACGGCAAAGCAGAGCAGCCAGGGTTGGTGACTGCTGCCAGTTTTCATGAAAGACAATAGTAAAGGCAGTTTCAGCATATCTCGATCAAAACACATTACTCTTGGCCTTCTCAAAGTTCTACTTTTCTTCTAGATTAGCTGCCTGACAAACTCTTCCCAGCGTCCCACCGTTACAGTGGGCAGTTCTGACTGCACTTTCTGGTCAGAAGGGCACAGTGACTCTTATGCTGCTCTTAGGCAGGTATGTGTAACATAGTGTGGCTCTTCTCAAGTTCTTCCCCAAGCCGTGGGTTCAGCCAGGGAAAGCTGAAGATGTATGTATGTGATGCTGCAGAGAAGCCAGTGGTAGCTACATAGCAATGACTTGGAAGCTGGTTAGTGACAGCAGCTTTCCGTCTTGTCTGTCCCTGCTCTCCTTTTACCTTGTCTTTCCCTTGCAGCCTGCAGCTATGACTCATCAGGTTTTACAACAGCTACTGTGCTTGTCACTGGAGAAGAGGAAAAATACAAACTACAGACAGGACCCTAAGGGTGTTAAGAGAAGATTCAAAGACTGTTTCCTTCCCAAGTGCCAAACAGCTCTTGCCAACACCTCTGACAAGAACATTGGCAAACGTGTCTTAGCTGTGCTCCTCAGGGCCATGCCATGGAGTGAGGGAGGTCTCTCTGATCAGTCCCAAGACCTTCATGCTTTTGTGGGCTGTCCCCATCGTTGTGCTGCCCTTGGGCATATTAAAAGGTGGCACCTACGTGGCAGACAGTGATGTGTACCCATGCCATGGGGTGCCTCTTGTTCCCCCTGCGGGAAGAACTGCCTCTCTGAGGCAGTCCTATGCTATCTCAAGCACAGCAAGACCATGGAACACCCTCACCTCGGCTGCTCTGGTAGTCCTGGGCTCTTCTGCAGTAGAGAGCTGTGCTACATCCCACTGCTGACATCCCTACCCCACCAATCTCCCAAGAACATGGACTCGCCCCACTCCTCTTCTCAGACTAGATATAAGGAAAAAAATTTTTTACAATGAGGGTGGTGAGACACTAAAACAGGTTGCCAAGACACATTGTGGATGCCCCATCACTAGAAACATTCAAAGTCAGGTTAGCTGGGGCTCTGAGCAACCTGATGCAGTTGAAGATGTCCTTGCTCATTGCAAAGGGGTTGGACTAAATGAGCTGTAAAGGTTCCTTTCAACTCAAACCATTCTATGATTCTGTGAAATGCTGGTGCCTCCATTGCTCCTTGTGTCCTTGGCAGGTCGCAAAAGGCAGCTCAGGTTGGATGGTCAGGAGGAATACTGGTAGTTGGAAGATCTGGAGCAACTATCAGGGAGCTGTGCAGAGGGAAGGAGGAAGGCAGGAGTGGAGATGGTGGACTTCTGGGGAAGGGGGAAAGAGCTAGGAGTGTATAGAAGGAGAGGCCAGGGGAGAGTAAAGAGAGAAGTTTCATGTTGCCACAGAGCAGCTGGGACAGGGCTGAAGAGCCCAGACTGGGAACTACACACCTCTGGGTTTGACTTACAGGGTGTGTGCTGCAAGGTGATATTTAGGAACGCTTTTAACAGAGTAATAA